AAGAGTATTGACATATAAAATAAAGTCCTTTTGAAATATTTTAATTTATGTCAGATAAATAAAATATTTTAAGAAGTATAATAATTCAATACTAAACCTTTAAAAATAGCAATCATGGGCTGGGTGCAGTGGCTGTGATCCTGGCACTTTGGGAGGTCGAGGCGGGCGGGGGTATCATTTGAGGTCAGGAGTTCGAAATCAGCCTGGCCAACATGGTGAAACTCCGCCTCTCCTGAAAATACAAAAATTAGCTGGGCTTGGTGGCACGCACCTGTCATCCTAGCTACTTGGGAGACTGGGGCGGGAGAGTCACTGGGACTGTGGGGAGACAGAGGCTGCTGTGAGCTGAGATCGCACCACCCTACTTCATCTTGGGCGACAGCGTAAGACTCTGGCTAAAAAAATATGACAACATAATAATCCTACTATAAACATTTGAAAGAGTTTGGTACCAGTTCCATCTAAAAGGTGGAGATAATAATAGTACTGCCTTTAAAGAGCCATTGTGGGGATTAAATAAGGTCATTTATAAAGGTGCTTAAAATGGTACAAATAATAAAAGTGAATCTGTTCCCAAAGTCATCTAACTAATTAATGAAGTAGAGAAGTGACTCCAGGTAATCTCATTATTCCAAACTGCTACAGAGTATGTTGGAAAGTGACAGAGCCAAAGCTCAAACCCAGCTTTCAAAATTGGGATGTCTTCAATACTCTATTTAATAGAGTCACATAGAACCTCCACCAATATTTGTGTATTTTTTTCTTTCAGTAAATATTTGATACACTTTACAGAAATAAAATACAGAAAACATCCACACGAATGTACATATACTTTCAAGCTTTTATTTATACACCCAACTTTTTATAGTATATGCAAATTATGAGTACTATAAAAATTTAAAAGGTAGGATGATGATTTCCAGTAAGTAAGACTAGGAAAAAAGGGAGAAATTTTTGACTCAGTGCCTGAAGCACGACTAGAGATTTGATAGGAGAGACGGTGTTCCTTTTTAGAGGAAAGTTCATGAGAAATACAGCCAAGAAGAAACCATGTTTAGGACATCTACAAGGTCAATAGATCTGAGAACTGTTTTGCAGAAGTTGTGGAAAATGAGCCTGAAAGGCACATGGTGCTAGATGCCTGGGCACGTATTTAAAAAAACCCTTTGCCTGTTTTGGGGCAAAAGACAATGCCAGAACATTTGGGGAACTTCACGATTTCCTGAGTGAAGCAAAAACTTTGGTGGTGTGGGAGCACTGATGTTTTGACTATGTTTGAAATGCGTTTGAGTGAGAAAAACAGAGATAGGAAGACCATTGCTGCTGTGATTACAATGGATCAGATGTGGCCTAATGAGTCTGAACCAGGCTTTTTCCATGAATGGGCTCTTGTTAAGCAGGTAGCTATTTTTCACAAGGATCTAGTGAAAATTATACCTGTATCCCTCTCTGAATGAAGCATGGGAATCGTTTGTATTGCATTAGAACATTAAATGACTTTTCTGAAAATACAGCATTTCATACATATGAGTTAGAGTGAGTTTATTGTTCATTACTAGATATTACATGCCTTGAAGCTGTAGTACTAAGTTGATAGTCTATAACTTCTTCTTTTAAGACTGTTGTGGATTGTTACACTACCATAAGATGTAACTGCTAAAATTTGGCACAGTATTGGGACCATTAATTTAAGCCGTATACAACCTTATAAACTTAGAATTGCTTTTGAATGTATAGAGTTTCCCTTTTAGAGACAAAAAGAAAAGACTACACATCATGTTTTTAATTTCTCACTCTGACAAGTAATCAACAATGTGAAATTTTCAAGCATTGCATTGTTAACTTTTAAACAGGTTGCAGTTCTGACCCCAGTTTATTAAGATTTGAAATCATCATAGAGTATATGCAGAATAGTAACCAATTCTATTAAGTCTAATTATATTAATATGCAATCCCTGGCTTTGTATCTAATTCTTCCAGGTAGATGTTTATATAGAAAACCAATTGTTGAGTATCAATTTGAATTATTGCTTCATTTTACATATTCTAGGCTCAGAACCTACTTGAAAATATGTTTTTTGAATGGAATAGATATTAGTGTGTAAAATAGATGTTTTATTTGCTATTTTATTATTTCTTTTTTTTGAGACAGGGTCTCACTCTGTCGCCCAGGCTACACTGCAGTGGCACAGTCTCAGCTCACTGCAACCTCTGTCTCGGAGCTCAGGTGATTCTCCCACCTCAGCCTCCTGAGAAGCTGGGACCACAGGTGTGTGACACCACACCTGGGTGATTTTTAAAAATTTCTTGTAGAGTTGGGTTTTGTCATGTTACCCAGGCTGGTTTCAAACTCCTGGGCTCAAGTGATTCTCCCACCTTTGCCTCCCCAAATTCTGGGATTATAGGTGTGAGCCACCATGGATACATGGTTTAAATGTTTTCAGTTTATCCAATGTGTATAACTTCTAAAGAACCATAAATCTGAATATATAAATGTCCAGATTGTTAAAATTAACTTAAAATTTTATTCTCACCTACATGTATTAAATGTATAACTTCTGTATATTAGAAAACTGTTCCTGACTGTATTTCCTTAACTATAAAATATAATACTAGGGATGACAACCAAGAAAACTATTAAATAAAATTTGTTTAAAACTCATTGCCCTACATAAGCCTCACATCTATCACTACTCATTGCAGTTGTGCTTTGTGTGTTACCTACAGATCATGCTCTGTTTAAGTACATGCCTTAAATCCGTATCTGAGCCAATCTGTAGTAGATTATGTACTTCTTTGGAATAGACGCAAAACTATACACTGCAGATGGTCTGGAAACTGGATTTTGAGCAATAAGCCTGGGTTCAAGTTAACTAATTCCTTTTGTTCTTCACCCAGTGTAGATGTGGCACAGACACAGATGAGTTTTTCTAACTGAAAAAGAATGAAATTAGGCAAGTGGCTGGCGCCCCCTTTAGGTAATCTGTAGTGTTTATCCAGGTAGCCTCATGGATGCAGATTTCAGAGCCTTAGTTTAAGAATCAGATGAGTAACTTTATAATCTATATGTGAAGAACAAATTTATATTTGCATCAGTATTAAGGTTTCTGCATGGTATAGCATTAATCATTCGTACAAAGAACAATCTTAATATATCTAGGATTGCTGGTCTATTTCTGTGGATATAGCTATAATGAATGATATCCTTTAGCAGCTTGTACCTAAGCCATATGTAATTTTGGTCTAATTTCATAGATTCAGTTAATTTGTGGTCCAAAAAACTCTAATCCCTAAAAGAGACATAAAATTTCACCTTCACTTAGGGAAGAAAGTGAAATAGCATCTCTATGGCCTTGCTTATTGTCTCTCATCTTAAATTATGAGTTGGCCTAGCCATTTTACCTTTGCCCTTTTGGCCACAGAAAAATTTTTATCAGGTTGTGGGAAAAATTAGGATTATGAAAATTAATAGACCCAAATTAAAACTTCACACAGTGGAATTTTGTTCACTAAATGTTAATGAGAAAATAAAGGTTTCTTGACAAAATTTAAACTTGGACCTGAGGAATGTTGACTTAAATCTATAAAATCAACATCACAGTAACATAAAATATGATTAGTAAAACTTGACATGAACCCCAGACTGATGAATGGATCAAAGTTCTTTGTGACATGTGCATACAGTTAAAACAATTCTGGCATGACTCAAATGAAAATAGAAATATCAGAATTTAACTGGGATGAATAGCAACCATAAATAATGATTAAAATTTTTGAATTTTCTCTAACAAATAAAATTGCCAATGGTTTTTCAATGGCATAATTGATAACCATAGATTTCTTTGTAATCATTTGAAAAAAAAAACACAAAAATTTCATGGTCAAAAATTAGGATCACAAATATCCTCTTGTTCATAAAAGGGGGTTTGAGATAGAAAGGTGAAAATATCTTCTACCCATCTCATGTACAATGTCATAGTGGAGAAGTCTTCTCTCTCAGCATGCTTACGCTTGGTAATGGCCAGTTTATTTCTTCTCTTTTTTCCTTATATTTACTTCATCTTTCATATTAATGCATGTTTTTCGCACGTTATTTTATATGAACAAAGTGACCATGTGAATTAGACATTACCCCATTTCATGGCCCAAAGAAATGAAACAAATTTCCAAAGTATTCATATACAATAGGTGGCCCAACTATGCTAAAAACACAAGCTATTCTAATTCCAGCTTTTAGGTCTTTTTCACTACTCCACAGCCATACCTGGCAAATGTGGATGGACATTTATCTTAAGCAGTCAAGCCTAAAAGACAGTCCTTTGTTATTATAATTGATGGTTCATGTTACTCCTAATTGGTGGTCATGTCATGACCAGTTCTTCATGAATCTTCATGGCTTCATAATCCTTTGTCCAAAGTGGAGTTAACAGGAATTCTGTCCATAGGACCAGGATTCGGAAGAACAAGTTTCTGTCTGTAGGATTGTAACCTAAAAACTGAACTAGATGTGGAATTTCACTTTTTTATTTACCGATAGTAACAACATAGTAAACTTCTAGAGATGCATGGCACATCTTCATTATTTTTTAGCCTCTGACCATACTGTTGTGCCAGACAGAAAGTGTGGCAAAGTGTGAAGAGCAAATGGGATGATACTTGAGTAAATACCTTGTAAAATACAATTTTCTATAAAGAATACAATGTGTGATTCTTTTTCTTTCTTTCTTTCTTTCTTTCTTTCTTTCTTTCTTTCTTTCTTTCTTTCTTTCTTTCTTTTTTTTTTTTTTTTTTTCTT